GTAATAGACAAAGTTCGTAATAGCATGTATATCATTCAAGATCCAAATTAACCTAGAATATGGCGAACAATGACCTTTAATTTAGCTATACCCACTATTTCAAAATATCACAAGAGATCAAACACTACTAATTGTTAAAATTTTTTTTTAAATTTCCGTTTGAAGGTAAAGTACATTTTGTAGTTATATAAACGTCCTTGATACAATCTTTTTTACCTTGACGTGTTAAACATTATGTAAAAATTATGCCTTTAGGGTTCTCCCACTATGTACGACTGCCTATGTCACATTACAAAGCGTTTTCATGGTTTTATCTACTGAATGAGTCTCTGTTGCAACGTTACAAAATGTTTATGATTTTATCTACTGGACAAGCCGCTTTTTTGTTACTCTGAATCGTGGTGTACGTAACCAATATGTGAACAGTACTTTAGGCAACTGGACACAAGGCTGATTTCAAGGGAAGTGACCCCCTATTGATCTTTATAGCCAATATTTACTTTGGGGTTATCACCAGATTACTTGGTCCACACAGAAAAATTTTTTGGAGAGAAAAAACATAACAAGTTTTTATAAAGTTAACTTTAAATAAAATTTCTCAATGTACAAAGTTACGTATAAATATAATATTGTTAAAAATTAAAACATCTACTCAAAGTCTAAGACCACCAAATTTGCCCATACTGTGGTCATACATGACTGGTTAATATGTCCTCATTTTTACATTATCCCTGAATATTAAAAACCCTTGCCACTTGTAAGAAAACTAAAGCTAAACGATAAAAAGAATAAGGCCTTTGTGCGCTTTATTTTTGTTTGCAGTTATCTTCGATATATTAAACGTATAATTGCATATAGAAGACGCATGGTTACACAAGACGCACCAATAAACCTGTACATACAAAGATATTGAATCAAAACATGACGCCACAAACTTAAGCACTACAACACGTACAACAAAAATGACAGATTGAAAGGTCAATGAGGATGATGGGGTCAAAGTTCAAAGGTCAAGTACATGCGCATAACAGTCTACATAGTAGACCTGAGATTCAAAACAGTCAACTAAAATCTACATATTAAAATATTGATCTTATGTGCATTAGCAACTTACACCACCAAAATATACGTAAGAAACATAGTTTTAATGTTAATGATGCTAATATTTTGGCAGAATTTGTTGCAAAAAGTCTTGTCTTCACTATTTCACAGCGATTGCAATTTTCACTCCAAGATGGTTGTCCTGATAATGACCTCTGTGACGGCGTAGGGGTCACAGTTAGAAGATGGTCGTCTGTCTTCTAAATATCCATAGCCATCTTCTGCCACCTGGCGGGGAATTCTGATACTCGCTCCTCGATTGGCCACACCGGCTGAGAAATCGTGGATGGAGGACGTTTCGTGAAGTCCTGTCAGTCGACGTTCGTTGTCTTTGCCCTCGTTGGGGTCGTAGGCTTTGATATGGCGGACATGATGCTTTGAGAGTTTTTCTATGGCTTCTTCGATGACACTGTAATATAAATTGAAGCCGTTATGCCACCTATTTGTTTGTCTAATACCGCCGATGCCACTCTGCAAATGGTTTTGTCAACTCTCTAATGTTCCAAAGGTCATATAGCATAGCTGCTGATTGAGGCTTTTGGATTGCCATCACAGAGCATACCCTTCTGATAGTTCTGAAGGCTAATGATATTCATGCTAAAAAGATGCCAATTTTGGCCAAAACAAAAAACCTATGTGGACTCTCCAAAATGGACTAGAGAAGAGTGAACGTGGCTTGTAATTTAGTGAAGCTCAAATTCTTATCGTCACTGAGAAACACGGAATGCGACCAATACTTACGCCAAACCACCCGTCTCTCTCATGGCTTTAGTGCTGTAGTTAGTATGAGCACCAGCTCCGTTCCAATCACCGGTCATTGGTTTAGGGTCAAGGGTCACGACTACCCCGAAATCTTCAGCTACCCGATGTAAAATATATCTTGCTACCCACAAATGATCACCCATAGCGATACCCTCGGTGGGTCCAACTTGGAACTCCCACTGAAAAGATAAACGAAATTGCAATTTAAAGTACAAATTCGGAACATCAAAGTAGACCAGGATAATAAATTGAAAAACATTAAATTTACGAAACAAAAATGATAAACGCTTCTTATATAGTAATGCCATCTCAGAATTTGAAGCAAACAATATATTCTTTTGTTAATGACATTTAAGATGACAGGTAAAATGCACGTGTATTACCTGAGCGGGCATGACCTCAGCATTACAACCACAAATATCTACACCAGCATATAAACAAGCTCTGTAGTGGGCCTCTACAATATCTCTACCATGTACTCTATTCGCACCAACACCACAGTAATAAGGACCTGAAAGAAAATCAAATCTAGGTCAAAGCACGTGCATATTAAAATTCTTGTTTTTTTTATTTGCAGATAGGGCATTGGAGACAACAGAACCCTATATAGGTGCCTGGGGTAAGTTATTTGTATTATTCCATCATGATTTGTGCAAATTCTGTTTGTAAGCTGCTGTGTGGTGGAAATATGTTTTAATCCTCGAAAAGAGCGTCAGTCAAAGCAACAAAGTTGCAATAAAAACCGTTCCAAATGGAACAACAAACAGTTCTGATTGTGTCAAAAATCAAAACAAAACAAAAATCCTAGGAGTAAATATAATATCAAAGTTGGGTTGTACTGAAAAAAAAACCCCAAAAAAACTCTGACGTACCTTGTGGGCCAGGGTAACCGTTCTTGGGCCACCCAAGTGGATAAGAATCGTAATCTAAAAGACTGTATTCCTGTTCGATTCCGAACCAAGGTTTATGTTCCTTGGCCTTTTCCATTACATCGGCACACGTATGTCTCTTGTTGGTTTCTAAAAAAAAAGATTTTAAAAATGGTTCAGTCTGGGTTTTTTTTCAAAACGGTTAATGTGGATGGAAATACGATTTAACAAGATAAGATCCTCTTCACACACTTGTTCTTTGACAAACTTAACCCGTTTCTGTGAAATTAGCTAAAACTGTTAACCGTCATTGGACAAGTCAAAATCCCCTTGTCCATATTTGCTGGATTAGCAGTATTATTCAGCCGATTGTGTGAAATAAGATCTTTGATACTCAAAGATTATTTTTCACGCGTTATCTAGTCCCATATGGAATACTGACCAAGATAAGTACGTGCGACCTCGATACGGCCGTGAGCTTGCTCGAACATTTGCAACAATAAACAATAAAGAGAGGAGGAGGGCTGGGGAAATTCTGGGAACAAAGTTTGAAGCTTACCAGCAGGTTTGTTGTTGTATTTATATACATCACATAGGATCAGTCTATTCTCACCACCACGGAAGGGGTCTCGGAATATAGCACAAGGGTGAAGGTACATATCTGAGTTCGACCCCTCGGCTTGGGCTGTGCTTGAACCATCAAAATTCCATATGGGACAATCTGAAATAGAGATGAGGGCCAGGTTATTACAATTCCGTACTTATATCTAATTGAAGAAAAACTAGACGACGGATTTTAGCTTTGAAAAGTGGTATGCATAGCTGAATTGAGCTCTATCAGCTGAGCTGGTAAAGTAAATATTAAGATAACTATACAGATAGCTGAAATTGAGCTCTATCAGCTGGTAAATAGAGCTGAAACTTACTTTTATCAGCCGGGAAAGTAAATATTTATCCCTTACGAAAAGTTGAAATGAAAGCCTACCTTTAGGTGATTTAGGAATGAAGTTCAGAGTTCGGCATTTACTTCTGATGCCCTCTCCTGATCCATCTATCCACAGATATTCCGCCATGACTTTTCCATCAGGTTGCTCCAGCTCCAGATATTTATTGAGGGTCGTCTTGTTCGTTTGTACCGCCATTTTGTCTAAAACGATAAAAAAATATATTCGAAATTAAGTCAGTGATTTCAGACGTCAAATTTAGACAAATATGGAAAGTTAAAAATTTGTAATCCTAGTCTGAACACATCTACTTTCGTATAATCACGTGATTTCGTCTCATCGGTGCACAAGGTTCGAATCCTTTCATTGTGAAAAAAGTACTCTTTGACTATATTACATAGTACTAATATTCATGATAAATGTTGATCTAGTTGTACAGGTTTTGACTACTGAGAAAACAACGCACTTCATGACTCTGTATTCAGGTGCACAGAGTTCGATTCTCTTCAAAATAAATACTTCGTGACTACGAAGAAATGCGGAGAAATAAATTTGGCTTCCAGTTGCACCGGGTTCGAATTTCTTGAAAACAATCGCACTCGTTGACGAAGGGATGAACAGGATTCGAATCACTTAAAAAACGCACTTGTTAACTTTCAGGTGCACCCGGTTCGATTCTCTTCTAAGTCAGTATGTCTAATATACTTGTCGATTATTCAAATAACATGCATATAAATAAATTTGGCTGTAATCTCGCCAGAAGTGAGTTTAATAAAAACTTGAAACGAATTAGTCACTCCAGCTATCGGTGAAGAATCGGCCTTGAACGATTTGTACATTTATCAGAGAAACTAGTTCAGGCTAGAAAACACTAGACAAGTCATACCGACATGGGGTATCTTGAATAGGGATTGGGTGGGGATTCGAACCTCCGACACTTAATGGCGCAGACACTTTACAAATTTTTTCTATTTCACAGAAACTTGGTAAGACTTGCAAACGTTTTGACGAAGTTTTTAAGTTGTAGACTCTGTACTTTGGGGTTGAATGGGGTGGGGGGAGTTGGGAGGGTGGTGATCGAACCCTTGACACTTAATCGCCCAACAGACCGTTTGCAATCAATTTTTCAATACCAGTATATATGCTCATCCATTATTTTGCAATTTTAACCACATTTTTGTCTACATTGGTTATACTTTTTGATTTGTTGGTTTATGCATTTCTGCAAACTAAACAAATTCTAAAAACTTAGCAACCAATCATGCAAAAATATCTGACGACAAGTTAATCAATGCTATATATCATATTGTATTTTGGCTGAACTTGCTTGGTCAAGGGCCAAGGTTGAACCAATTTTCGTCTGGATGAAAAACAAAGAAACCTTATTATTTTGACCTCATTATGGTACGACTGGATATTCGAAACAGCGTTATATAAATTTCTTATGCTTGATTATCAAGAATTTTAAGATATTTTTAACTTTTGAAATACTTGGGCATTTGCCTATACCAGTATTCAAATTATGAAAGTATTTGGTTGAAATGATAAACATTAGATATAAATTTGGTAAAAGGTTTTAAAATCTATCTAAAAGATGTCAAGTTATTCTAGACTACAATCAGGTCGAATGTATTTACTATATCAGCTGATTGACCGATTTAGGAACACGTGGTCATGTGATGAGGTTCTACGATTGAAATATCAGTTTCAAGTGGAAACCAAGTCAATGCTCCAATTGAATGAAGTGCACATTGTTTTTGTGGTACAAGCTGGCCGACATATAAAACATCATGTGATGATACTACTGATAGCTGGTGGAAAAATCTAATGAAGTGCACATTGATATAACAAAAAAAAAAAAAACACAAGGGGTATATTATGGTGAAGTGCACATTGTCTTTCTGGTCCAAGCTGGCTGACTTATAAAACACCATGTGATGATTCTACACAAGTAGAACATATGTTCAAACATCTATCAGTAGAATCATGACATTATCATCTACTGGTGGAAAAATCAAGTCAATGCGCAAATTTAATGAAATCTTTGTTTTTCTGGTCCTAGCTGCCCGACATTCACATGCGTCATGTGCTCCAAAAAAATTCAATGCTCAAATAAAATAGATAATTATTTTCACCCCATAAAAACCTTATAATAGAAGTTTATGTTCTTGAAAAGGTGTCAATTGCTTGTTTGAAAATTGCTGACTATGTTCGGATAGTTTTTATGACTCTAGCTGACCGACATTAATCACATGACACAGCCACCAGAAGATGACAATATATAGTTGAGGAAGGAAGGTCAATGTTCGAATGAAATAAAGTCAAACACTTCAGTAGAACTTGAACTTCCCGACTAGTTCGATCTACATGGGTGTCTGGATTTTTCTGACTCAAGCTGGACGAAGTTTGTCGACATACAGAGTAGGCCTATACTCCTGACATTTTAATTTTTATGTTTGAGAGACACAAAAGTGCATTGTTTATGATTATGAAAATAGCTTGGCATGACATAACCAATAAAGGTCCATAGACCTAGGGCAAATGTTTAGGAGCTGGACGTCCCATCAATGTCATAGCCAATTTCAAAATTTAAAACAATAGCTCATTAGTTTATCTTCTGTCCTGCTGATGACCAATTTACTATATTCAGCTAATATTGGAGGCATTGTTTACATATATACCATTATATAAAGGTAAACAAACAAACCAAAAAATGTCAATAATAGATCTCATTAGACTGTCACGTGATACATTTTCGTCTGCTGCCTAATGAACCTATGACGTCAAAATAACGATAATCCTAATGACGTCTATTTTCACTTATCACGTCACTAGTTCCAATAGTGTCAATATTGAATTGTAGGGGAATATGACGCTGAATTTAATTCTGAAAAGCGTAATGGATAGCTGAAATTGAGCTCTATCAGCTGGTTAATCCAACATGTCGATGACATGACTGATCTTTTGTATCTTATGATTCTGACGACAGGTGCCCGGGGTGGGTCACGAAGGCCAATCCTGATGTTGGTAAGCCTTTGATATAAACCCGGAAACAGACGTATTTTTTTACAGTAACTCTAAGAGCTATTTGTAGTAGGTATGAAATTATACCCCTAAACACGAAACTTTTGTTACTTGACTGCCCCTCAATACAACGACTGTTCCTGGTTTGATGTAATTTAATAGGAGGATTTCATACACTTTTATAGAAATTAGGAATTTAGGGCTTGAAGCGAAAAACATGGGATTGGATTAGTAGAGGTTATAAAACCCTTCGCTGCTCTTGCATAAAACGCTAATATATCTATAAAGGGATATCATAAAATATTTTCAAAGAAATATTTAAGTTTAAGGATATTTATAAACTGTAAGCCGGAAAAAGTTTGTAAGCCGCTTGTGTTTGAGGACAGGGGTTCATCTTCCTTATTAGGTTTGGCCCAGGATGGGTGTTGTGTAAATCAAGCAAAACATTGTAGAGGGGGTGGGGGGCAAAAAAGGTCAAGTTATCTTATGCTTCCTTGTTGGGTTAGTCAAGGATGGGTGTTGTGTAAATCAAGCAAAACATTGTGTATAGAGAGATAAAGAGAGAGAGGAGGGGGGGGGGGGGGGCATATTAACCCTAAACCCTTCATCGATTTGCTTGGGTGGGTGCAACGAAACAAATTCTGTCGATTTCATATTGTCAGTTGATCCAAAACGGGACCCCTATTCTATCTCCGTCTCTCTCGGGTTCAGGGAATTAAATCTTTGTTCAAACGCTATACTGGATGGGAGGAGGGGGATGGGAGGAGGGGGGGGGGGGGGGGTAAAAAAAAAAAAAATTTTTTTGAAAAAAAGGGCAAAGACCCCCTAGTT